AGTTGATCATTTGCATCCTTCTAGAGGGTTGTTGAAGCACTAGGTGGTTTATCTGTGTCCTCAGGGTCACCTGAGTAGTGTTCCTGCTTCCTGTAGTTTGCAATTTTTCCTCTGGAAATCCACCCCCCCCCCATTCAAAGCCAATCATTCATGTCATTTTACAAATATATTTTGGGGAGTAACCCACTAGCATCACCCTAGCTCATTTGTACTCTAGGAAAGTTCAAGCTATTCTACGCAAGCCAGCATTTCTAATCTTGAGACAACTTGCAATCCATTGACCATATCTTACCAAGTAAGTGTTACATGCTATGTTATATTATATTCACGATACTGTATCTGCTATACTTAATATATTTTGCAAAACATCACACTGCCTGACTGAAGGAACAATTCTCTTAACTCAGAAAAAAAAGGGGGATTTCCTCCCTTCTCTTCCAAATTTAATCACTCCTTGATTGTCTTCATCATTTCCTGCTAAAAACTCAGTTACATTGGAAAAATGTGTAGCCCTTGAAACAATAAAGGCTGCACAATTCTATTTTAAAGGTCATTTCTCTTATTCTGTTGCCCAGAAAAAGGTAGGTTATATTATTGGCTCTGAACCAGTGTATTCGGCATATCACTTTCTCTACTCATCCGTTTTTTTAATCTCTTCCTTAAAATAAACTCCAGTATTATTTTCTGCAGCCCCCTTTAAGCTAGCCACAGAGGATGCTAACAGAATGATTACCAATCATGTCATTTAAAAATAAATGAATAAATAGCCAAACACAAGAGTCGAAGTATCATTCACATTACATCTCAAGGTTTCTTTCCTTCAGGATGCAATCTAAATAAATGTCACATACCCACTCATGAACCAATTACCATTAGGAGAAGAATTTCTGTTGGTGCTAATCAGATTTTTTTTGTGTTAATTCATAGTGCAGCTACCCTATATACATGAATAGAGAACCGCTCTGAATTTAATATAACCCTTCCCCAGCAAAAGGGGAAAAATAAACTAACCTCAAATGCCTACATAACTGTCATACCTGTCACAGCTACATAACTGTCAAAACCACATACCGGCCATTTTGTTTATGGTTGCTAATGACAACTGAAACCCATCTTGTAAATTCACCTAATAAATGTGAATGTGTATTACTTGCATATGTTTGCACATATAGATGTGTGTTCTGACCACCACCACCCCTGACCTGCAAATCACCCAGACACAGGCTTGGCTGTTTGCCACTCTTTAATCATGGATTTATTGACTCCTTTGGCTGAAGGCCCAGACAAGACTCACCTGCAAGAATAGTTGGCAGCAACCCAAAATCCAACAGGCACAGATACAAGACAGACAGAGTATTCCAATACTGTTTCAAACGGTTGTATCCTGCAAATGACCCCTCTCAACTTCTTCACTTATATACTCTCTCAGGAGGGGCCAAGCCAAAACCACCTGGGTTTAATTATCGTCTCTGAGTCTGCCTCCACAGCTGCTGCTTCCGTTTCTCTGCCCTTCTTTGTCTTGCGTCAGGAACAAACTGCCTTGAATCCTCCGCACTGCTCCATGCCTCAGGCGCCTCCTGGTGGCCAACCAGCCTCTCTGGGTTGAGTCTGAACCCTGCCCAGGATCCTCCACATCTTCCCTGGCAGACTCATATGGTTTCTCACTATCCGAGTCCATCAGCAGCTCAACCGGATCCTGCTGGGCCACAACAGATGTGTGTGTGTGTGCATTAATGTGTACATGTATACATATACACACTTATGTGTTCTGATTGGTCAGAATTTTTCTGATAAGAAAAAACAGAGCCAGAAAAACAACAGCAAAAGAATAAAAGATTACAATGATTTGTCTATAACCATGATGGTGAATCTATGTGGGCATGCGTGCCATCACCAACTGCTCTTCCAGGTTCCGTTACGCGCATGTATGCCGGCCATCTGATCTTCGCACAAAGACCAGCTGTCTGGCACGCATGTGCATGATGGAACCCAGAAGAGCAGCTGGCTGCCATGCACTTGCGCACCAGCCAGCTGCTCTCTTTCAGGTTCCAGCGCTCCGGCAAACATGCTCAGATTAGCCATTACTGGCCTATAATGTCCCCCATTTGTAGGATTAATGGACCACCTACCTACATATATGCATATCAAAATTCTTTTTCATATAAACAAAACACTCAGGATAAAGGGAAAGAAAAAGAAATATGGAGGGAAAACCTGGATGGAAATCAGAGACATGAAAGAAGTAAATTGACAAGAGAGGAGACCTTGAGGTCTGAACTCAAAAGGATTCAAAGTCATGAGGATGAGCATCTCCTTCTCCATTTCTGCTGCTGGGGTCTTATCTTCAATGAATCCATGCTTTCTGAAATGAGGAAAGCTTCATGGGAAAGATTTTCATTCTTTCCACATTGCCTAGAGGGGGCTAGGCCATTCTGTATTTGAGAAAGAGAATTTCCTGCAGTAAACTGGAGAGGCAAAAACCACCACTATTCTTTTGGCCCCTCCTTCATGTTTTGCTTTCCATGATACAGAAGGGTTCTCTTTCATTCAGCAGCATCAGCTCCTCTTTAATAAAAGCTGTGTCTAGTCAATTTTAAGGACCCTTGTGGATCATTTGGCTTCCCCACACAACTGGCAACAGCAGGAAGGATGACCTTAAAAAGGAAAGGGACTGCTCGATTCAGCAAAAAGTATTGCAGGGCTAATGACCACCTACATAGGTAAGATTTCCCACATAAGTGGGTAAAGTAGGCCCAAATGAAGGGTGTTTTTTAATATTGGCCCCCACATGTGGAATAGCTCCCATGGGATATTATTCAGTGAGCACTCCTACTCTGTGGCAAAGCAAATCCCATCAGAGAGCATCTGTAACTGTTATTATTGAATTTAAGGTTGGTATCAATTGTGAGTCACTGCTTTCTTGATATTTTAATATTACTATTCTGTACTTTAAGAGTACCTCTCTCATTGATGAATTAATGTGATTTTTAGTAATAGCAATAACATTTATATTTATATACTGCCCAATAGCACTTTACAGCACTTTCTGAGAAGTTTACAATGTCCACATTATTTGCATATTGCCCCCCAACAATCTGGGTTCTCATTTTACTGACCTCAAATAGATGGAAGGCTGAGTCAACTCTGAGCCCCATCAGGATCAAACTCCAGACTGTGGGGGGCAGAGTTGGCCTGTAATACTGCACAACCACTGCGCCACAAGGGGTTCTGCATTTTTAAGGTGAAAAGATTTCATCTTTCAAGTAAGAACCTGAATTTACAATAGGTACCAGAAATTTCTCCTAATAATTGCCACTCGAGAAGATCTAGTGTAGTATAGGGGGTAATCTGTTGGACTAAAATAAAGAATTCATCATCAAACATAGTAAGTCACTATGTGACTTTGGGACAGCAGTGGGATTCATTTGTTTTTTTACTACCGGTTCTGTGGGTGTGGCTTGGTGGGCGTGGCAGGGGAAGGTTACTGCAAAATCTCCATTCCCTCCGGATCAGCTGGGACTCAGGAGGCAGAGAATAGATGGGGGCGGGGCCAGTCAGTGGTATTTACCGGTTCTCTGAACTACTCAAAATGTCTGATACTGGTTCTCCAGAATTGGTCAGAACCTGCTGAATGCCACCTCTGCTTTGGGACTATCATTGACTCTCAACCTAATTTCCTCATAGGATAAGGATAATGCAATTATGGTAAAAGGTACCACATATAAGCCACCTTGAGTTCCTGAAGAAAAGACTGCATCTAAATATGATAATAACAACGAAAGCAACTCAAACATGCATAGAAGCAGCTTAGGTAATTCAGTCAGTTTGGGCAATGAAACTTTCATTTGATCTATGATGTGGTAAGATGACCAACAGGGCTCCAAATAGTCCATTGCTTATAGTAAAATTTAGTAGTCATGTATTATTGGGGCAGAGAACCCCCAAGTGTTTCTATTAAAGGCCAATGGACTAACTATTTATAAGGTTTTCCCCGCCTCACTTCTGTTGAATGCTACAAAGGATGTAACAAAAATCTTAAGGCAAGGTGATAAAATTAGGAAGGTTGAGAAATTAGAGAGGGAACGGTGAAACTGATCATCTGTTTCTGTCTCATATTTTAATTTAAAGACGAAAAAGATTTCAGGGCTTTACATTTTTTACAAATGGTCTTAATGGCGACTTTGAGGCACCACAAATTCCACAAAGAGCCCTAAATGCTTTTTCATTCAGTGCATAGTCATGCTGATTTAAAATCAACCATGTGTGACTTAGATTTAATGAACTGATGGATATAATTATCAGTGTCAGGATGTCTGAGTACATTAATTAAATATTTCACCTACATATGGGGGACAAAATACTGTAAAATGATGGCCATAAAAAGCAAAATTTGGGGAAATGACACCATGATTTGCAATCACTTAATGGCATTTTAAAAGGCTTTGGATTGGATGGACTATTTCTATGTGCTTATCCCAGTATTTATTTATTCAGTTAGAAGTTGAGAAGATAGCTTTCATACAGAAAATTCAATCATAGCAGGTCCAGGGCATGACCAACTTCCAGAAACCTTTGAAATGGCACTAGCTGCCTAAAATAATTTCAATAATTAAAACTTCTGTCCAGAAATCTGAGCATAGTATGTTTGGAAAAATCATACTATGCTCAGATTTTCAGCAAAAAAAGCACAATTTCTTTTGGAGAGGAGAAGGAAAAAAGAGAGGATTTCTCTGTTTGTTAAGTGATCTAAATAAGATCACGAGACAAGATAATCCCCCTTGACAAACTCAAAGGTTAAAGAAAATCAATTTTCTTGAAAGCTGGGCAAAGCACACACATGGATTCTTAACATACATCACATGTGTATCAAAACATGACATACTGAGTACTGCCTCTTTAAAATTACATATGCATAAAGATGCCACCTACTGAGGATAGACTTTAGATGCAGACACACAGAGAGCCAGACTTCTGTTCTTGCTCAGCTCTAAAGAAGACCTGCATACTGCAATTCCACTTCTAGAACCAGACAGCATTCTTCAATTTCACTAACTCTGTAGTGATTTTCATGAATCTCCAATTATTCTTGGGATTACAGCATATGAAGAAGTCACAATTTGTCCTAAGTACATGCTCCAGAACAGGTACAGTCTGATATTTTTTTAAGTGGCTCTGTTTTTATCAGCAGTTGTGATAACAGTATGTACAATTTACTAGTTTGTTTTGATTGTATCTTTGTTTACAGTCAAGGCATGCACTGATTTTGAGTTGGGATTTCTCTGCCCTTTTTTTTCTGCGACAGAGAGAGAATAGTTCGATATTACACTCTTCAGAGATATTATAGCAATGAATCTCTAGAAATTTGTGCTTTATTCCTTAAGGCTGTTTCTTTGGGATGGAATTGTAGGAAACACTGACATAGTTGGTGAAACTTAGTTCTGAATAAGTCTTTTACACATGGTTCTGTTAAGACTTTTTTCTCTTAAATTTCACACAAAAAAACTGTGAATGCCAACAGAACAGCAACAAATATTTGACCAGGCAATCAGCTAATGCCTCAGGAAGCCTCTAACACATCTGCAATTTTTTCTTTTTTTCTTTAGACAGATTTAGATGAAAGGTTTTCCTTCTTCATTTGCTTCATACATTCCTACTGCACATGAAACATGATAAGCAACTGAACTTTCCCACAGATGTTTCTTATGGCAAAATCTAGCTGCTCTTTGCCCTGAGAATTCCAATAGTTAGGAAATAATGCTTAATTGTTTATCTGGTTGTGTGATTGTTTATGATGGAATAGATAGGTTGCTCCAATCTTTGATGACTGATGTTTGATCAGCATAAGTAGAATCGTCTTTATTATCCAGACAAAATATATGATGCTGCTTGACATCTCCACAATGCAAAAATAAGTCTAACTATTCTGCAACATTTGGAATCCAATTGCTCCACTGGGTTTGGGAGAATAGAATAGAATAGAATAGAATAGAATAGAATTCTTTATTGGCCAAGCGTGATGGGACACACAAGGAATTTTCTTTGGTGCATATGCTCTCAATGTACATAAGGAGAATAAAATACATTCATCAAGAATAAAAATATACAACTCTTAATGATAGTCAAGGTGACTAATAAGCTATCAAATCGTACTAGTAAACAAATAAAATAATATAAATTGAAAGATACAAGCAACAAGGTTATAGTCATAAGTTACATAATTATAAGTAAAATATACAGCCTGATCTTGCAAATGTACATATTAGTCTTCCTTTCAGTAATGGAAACACAAGCACGAGACTACGTAAGATAATGTCACTTATGAAAGGTTATATAAAATTCCTCTTGTTTTCAACCCCTCTTTCTTTTTCCTGGAGAAGTTTGCACCATTTCTAACCAGAACAGACAGATTGGATTAACCACATCCTTTCCCCTGGAATCCAGAGGCTATTTAAGCAGCCATTGCACTGCTGATTTTGTTATAATGAACCAACCAAGTCCTATTTCTGCAAAGCATTTTTCATTATATAAAAGAGGAAAGTGGTCCAGATAAATGAGCAAACTACAGATCCAAAACAGTGGTGAAGTTTGAAATTCATTTAGCTCTATGAGTCCAGTTTATAGATTCACTCGAATAGTCCAATATAGATGGCACAATATATATTTGAGGGACCCAGTGTTAAAAATCTTCCGTACTCATGAAAATGGAAATCCCTTCATGGCCAGAACTCAGATCAGGGCATTAGAGAACCTTACCTAAAACTTTGGATAGCCATTCTTGATTTATAAAAGCATAGTATCATCAAGCAGCTGAAAAATTTGGTTCCCTTGCCCCTACAGGATGGAGTCATTGATTCCATTTCACAGTAAGACTTTCCAACTTCCTTTTACATTTGTGTGTTTGGAGTGATTTGTTGAGCCTTTGAGGTTGAGGTAGTTTATTCATGTCAGGAATCAATCAATTAATCTATTTTGTTGACTTCAACAAAAGGGTGAGAAATTTAAACTGGTAGTGGAATTATCTACTTGCAAAATAAAACCTTGCTGGCATGAAGCTCATCACACTCAATTTAATTACTTGGGTTGCTAAAATGCAAGAGTGGCAGTTTTGTTTCACTAGGAACCTTTCACAGATTGCAAAAGGCTGAAGGAAATTTAACTTTATTTCTTCCCTTTCCTCACTGTCAATCAGTGAGCTCCATCTTTGCGCAGAAAATATTGTGACGAATTGCAACTACCTGAAAAAGCCCCTCATGGTGGATTTGACAAAATTTGTCCTTGTTTTGTCCAAGCATAAAGAAGTGGGAAAGGATCTTAGAAAAAGATTTGTCCTTCCCAATCTTTGGCATGGCTCAAGATAAGCTTTGGGGGGAGAGAATTGTATGTTATCCTTTCTCTAAGTGGGTTTACTTTTCCTGTTTTGAAAGGTAAGAAATGATTCTGCTGCCATTGAAGATGTTGAGAACATGACTTACAGAACAGTGAGATTTCTCCCATGGATGGTGGTGAATAGATAAAGTTCAATAAAGCATCACTAAGGAAAAGAGACAAGAACACCATCATGAAGCAGGAAGCACATCATCCCAATAACACACACCCACATACCAGCTTTGCTGCTATCTATGGCAACCATATTGGAGACTTCCCTGCTTATCAAAACTTCACCTTCCCTTTCAACTTCAGCTACAGTGACTATGATCAACTCTTGGATGATGATGATGATGTGACCAAGACTCGCACTTTCTTTGCTGCCAAAATTGTCATTGGTGTGGCACTGGCTGGCATCATGTTGGTCTGCGGTATTGGCAACTTCATTTTCATTGCTGCTCTCATCCGTTATAAGAAGCTGCGGAACCTCACCAATCTTCTCATTGCCAATCTGGCTATCTCGGACTTCATTGTGGCCATTGTTTGCTGTCCATTTGAGATGGACTATTATGTGGTACGCCAGCTATCCTGGGAACATGGCCACATCCTCTGTGCATCTATCAATTATTTGCGCACTGTTTCCCTCTATGTTTCAACTAATGCCCTCTTGGCCATTGCTATAGACAGGTAAGGGGACTGGTGGGAAACTAGGGTTGACTGGAGCCAGGAATTGCTGTATCTATTGTTTTTGCAATTAATTTTCCTATTTCTCTTTTCTTTTTTTAAAAAAAGCATATGATTTATTGGAAGCCTTCTTCCATTTCAGAGCCCTTCACCATCATTGCACTCAAAGATAAATCACAGTTATCATTTGACGTCAAAAACAGAGAGTCATAATAAAAGGCTGCTAGGGGGAACATCTGACAAAGGTTGCTAAGTCTTGGCAGAGCTGTGTGAAGATTGAAAGTGGGGCCATAGACCTGCAATTTAACTACCAACTGCCATTACCACCCCAGGTTTGGGCAGAAATCTTCTGTTATACCTCTGCCTGGGATAGTGACTTCTGGATTTCTGACAGTGATATTGATGGCTTTTCTAAGGTTACTTGTCTCTGGAATTCCAGTGATCCTGCATTACTACATTAATGATAGGTGATACATTTCTGCTCTTTTAGAAATGGTTATGAAGAAGGGAGGAATACTGTGGTTGCTGGAAATGGTTCCAAAGTAATCAGCATTTTATTTTCAAAACCCCAGCTCTTTGCTTATTTCACATGCTGATAATTATTCTCATTTGCAGAAGGCGGCAATCTGCAGAATTAGAGAAAAACATTTTTGATAGTTGGGTTTTCCCAATTGACCACTAACCAGTAGAAATCACATCTGATTTTGCAGTTTTAGAATGCTTAGACTGAAGCAGCATGTTGTACACATCTCAGATATAAATCAAAATGCTGTTGCTTTGTTTGTCCTATGGGATTTGATCCCCAAACCATTCATTGCATTTCAAACATCAGGTTTTGAAATATCTCGAAGAATTTGAACAGTGTTCAGGTATGGAACACAGGCAAGGCTGAAAGGAATATCTTTCCAGTGTAATTATTAAGGAGGCTGCAATGAAACATTAATCATGAACAAAGATTGCCCAATTTCCCCTCCACAAGAGAATCTATTGTTTCAGGTAACAATCTTACATTAAAGCAATTATGTAAATCTGCAGGCTTTTAAAAAAGATTTTAAAAGAACCCCAAAGTAATTATTGGGATTTTTTTGCGTTTGAAAATGACAAAGTTTGGATAAAATAGGTATACATGCTCTATTAGCAGCAACTCTTAGTGTCAGTTAGATACTTTATGAAAAATGTTCTTGGTATCAGCTTCCCTTCAGATTGCAAAACTACCATTCTCATCTCCTTAACCAGGACAGGTGGTCCTCAACGTATGATCACAACTGAGCCCAAAACGTACGTTGTTAAGTGAGAAATTTTATAAATGAGTTTTCCTCCTATTTTATGACTTTTCTTGAGTATTTGTTAAGTGAATCACTGTTAAGTTAATAACATGGTTGGTTAAGTGAATCTGGCTTCCTCACTGACTTTGCTTGTCAGAAAAGGGATCATGTGTCCTTGGGACACAGCAATGGTCATAAATATGAACCAGTTGTCAAGCATCCAAATGTAAATTCACATGATCATTAGGATGCTGCAACAGTCATAAATGTGAAAAATGATCATAAGTCATTTTTTTCAGCACTGATTAAAATCTGGTCACTAAACGAACTGTTGTAAGTCAAGGACTATCTGTACTGCTTTCTGACATGCAATCTGTAGCTGGGGATAATGGGGTTATAATCCAACTCATTTGGAGAGAATGCCAAATTGTGGAAGGCTTACCCAGAGGATATCTTATAAAGATAGCAATCCTTTCTGTTGAAACATTATTTCTATTTTGTACAGTAGCTTAATCTTGGAATGAGCTAAGGATGTTTATGATATCAATTTTTAGTGGCCTTTGACATATTCAACATCTGATGGCATATTTGGAATATACATTGATACATTCATCAGCATATCTGTTTTTATAGACATAGTGATGTAATATCTTTGCAGAATAGGCTAAAAATGTGGAAAAATTGGAATTTGTCATTCTTTTTTAAAATATGGATCCGCCCTAGAGATATCAATCTTATATTTGGAATTATATGATGCACCATGGGATTCTCTAAATATTTACATTTTTAAATGTGCCAGATTAATAGCAACGTGTAGGAAAACCAAATATACACAGTTATTTGATACTACCTGTATCACCATTTGAGATGTTGGATCGGATGTATAAATAATGGGAACCACTTGCTCAGCAAAGGTCAAATAGAAAATATTAGAGAGCAGTGAAATGGAAAATATTACACTACAGCAGAAAAGATTTGGTGACAAAGGAAAGACAAGATTTGATATATATTTTTCATGTACAGCCTGACTTTGGAGAATGTCACTGTAATGTAGAGAGAAAAGAAAGGATATAAACTTACTTTTGATCATTCTCTTTTAAACTTCTGTGAATAGAAACTCATCTCAGTGTACAAAATGAGTTTTTTAAAAAGAGGTTAGTACATTCTGATATTTCTTGAAGAGCTAATAGTATGGTGTTCTAAACATTAACCTGTAATTTCCTAGGGCTAGGCAAAGCTTCAGTCCAATCACCTAACTGAAGAAAAGCTATGACAACTTCCACCATTCTCCTACATGTACAAACCCCACATATTACAAGTGAAGCAATTGCATTATTTCTGATGCCTTCCCTAACTATTCCAAATGGTAGCAGAAGTTTTCCATTGTTGGAAGAGTCTTCCTGCTCAGGCTCAGAAGCCTCTTCATACTATTAGAACTGAGAGGTCCTTGGTACTCTCTGAACTTGGTTGTTTTCTTTCAGACGTTTTATTACCCAAATTAGGTAATATCATCAATCTAGTTCAGAGCGGGCCAACGCCCCTCATGTCAACTCTGAGCTACAAATATTCTCCTTTATTGGTACTATCAGAACTGCTGTCCAAGTCTTCAAGATGACACAAAGAGGCTCATGGAGGGAAACCACATTGCCTCTGAAACTCGATGAAGCAAATTGAATAGTCTCCCCAATGCAAATCCAGACCTCTTCAGACAGGGCCATAATTCCCACTCTGTCAATTACCCTAAGTGTACAGATTCAGGGTTTGCACATCACACTAAGCTATGGCACTATAAATAATCCATAGTGGCTTAATCCACACATACATAAAATGGTAAATCATGTACTACAAAATCAACATATGGATTTTTATGTTGTACACAACTGTAAAGTGTAAAGAGCTGTAGGAATAATCTTAGGAGTCAGGAGAAAGTCCACAGCCTACAATCCAAAGGACAAATGGGGTAGAGAAAGCATCTCAGAATTAACCCTTCCTAATTCTCTGAAATTAAAGGCAGGGGAGAGCAGGCAATGAGTATGATTGTGACCAGTGTCTGCAGGTTTATCTGAAATCTTAAGAAATTATAGAAGAATGGTCCCAGATTCCTTTGAACAAGTGGTATCTTGCTGTTTTTTTCTGGAGTTATCATGTCACTTCCTATGAATTTCTAGGAGTGCTTTATTATTGGATGCTATATTTCAATATTAGTGGAAGAGGTCTTTTGATAAAATATTAGAACAATGTCTCCTTCCTTGGTAGCCTGCAGATGTGGATAAACTGTAGTTAACCACATACTATTTTGTCAAGGAATGGTGGGTGTAGTAGCTGAACAGACTGGGGTATGCGAAGTAAGGAAAGCTATATTTGGAGTCTACAGAGCAATGATGATGGGAGTTGTATTCCCCAGTTTTTAAAAATATATACTAGCGCTTGAAATACAGAATAATGCTGTTTTCCTAATTTCTCCATTAGAATTCGTAGCATTGTATCAATGATACAGTGTCTACAATTGCATTTCTTAAATATTGGAATAAGAGCAGCTTGGTGCTCAATAAAACAAATTGCCATTTCTGTTAATTACCTTAAGCTACTTTGAAGCAATAAAAAGAAGTGGATCTTTTCTAATACAAATTTGGAAACTTCTGTATTTTGCAGGTACCTTGCCATTGTTCACCCATTGAAACCTCGGATGAATTACCAAACAGCAACCTGTCTAATTGCTTTGGTGTGGATCGTCTCCCTGATCATTGCAATACCATCAGCCTATTTTGCAACCGAGACTGAAGTATTTATGATACAAAATCAAAAGAAGTTTTTCTGTGGACAGATTTGGCCAGTCGATCAGCAGATGTATTACAAATCCTATTTTCTTTTCATCTTTGGTGTTGAATTTGTTGGACCAGTCTTCACCATGACCCTCTGCTATGCCAGGATTTCACAGGAGCTTTGGTTTAAAACTGTGCCAGGCTTCCAGACAGATCAGATCAGAAAAAGGCTTCGTTGCAGAAGGAAAACTGTATTGGTGCTCATGTGCATCCTAACTGCCTATGTTCTCTGCTGGGCACCCTTCTATGGCTTCACAATTGTCCGTGACTTCTTCCCCACTATCTTTGTGAAGGAAAAGCATTACTTGACAGCCTTCTACATTGTGGAATGCATTGCCATGAGCAATAGCATGATAAACACCATGTGCTTTGTGACCGTCAAGAACACCACCATGAAATACTTCAAGAAGATTATGCTGCTTAGGTGGAGGTCCACCTACTATGGATCCAAAGCTAGTGTTGATATGGACATCAGAACCAGCGCAATGCCCATCACTGAGGAGGTGGACTGCATTAGACTAAAATGAAATATTGACACACATTGTCTCACAGCCAAGGTTCCATAGCCTCATTCACTCCCTGCTTTGCTTTCTTTTCTTCTGTTTTAATGTGTCAACATTTACCAGGGAAGTTGCTGTCCAGCAGAGCACAGACTGAACAAGATCCTGAAATGCTCCAGAAAGCAGAACACTGGGGCACAACCAGCTTTATCACTGTTATTCCACTTTGTTGTGACTCAGTTTCTCTGGTTCGAAATTATATCGACTGTATATCTAGGCTAGAAATCAGAAAATGATTTGGAAAAAATGGGATTATTCCAAAATCTAAGTTTTTTTCCTTGACTCTCATCAAAATCCCCATTAGTTTATATCAGGACCGAGGAAACAACATGCTTGTTCACTCCATGTGTAAGACAAAGAAACCTTTTATTATCAGCCCATTGTTATGGATCAATGGGCTTCAAAATGTTCCTTATATTATCAGAACCTGCCCAAGCAATTCCGATGCTGTGATAAGTTCCTTTAAAATAGACACTGGAATGGCTGAAATTAGTTGAATTTTCTGTAAAACGTCTGCTCTTTTCTTTGTAATAGTATCCTTTTATAGTATCAGTATGATCTCTTTCTTGCAGAAATCTTGTAGCCTTTGATGTTTATAGATGTATGAATGAGATGTTTTTATTCCCACTGCAGGCTTGACAGAGTTGCTATGCTTTCTCTCGGTCAGCTTCTTCCTGTTTCTCAAATCCATTTAACTTGTATTTAAGTTAGGGAAAAAGAAAGCAGAACTCCTATATTTGGAAAACACAGGGTTTTTATCATTATTATGGTCATCTTTTTTATTTTTATATATCTATCTATTTATTTATTTATTTAAATGTATAGTCTGCCTAACACTGTTCTACCATAACTTTGATGTGATTGTTGCTTAAAGCAGTGGTCACCAACTGGTGATCCTTGGACCACTGGTGGTCTGCGTGAAAATTTTGGTGGTCCACAGAAAAAGTATTTGCATTTTTATATTGCACTAAATCAGGGGTCCTCCAACTAAGCCCCCTGGGATGGATACGTGCAATGAACACTTGTGTTGCTGCAGAGAGTCTCCTCCTTTGGGGACTTTTTGTATGGGTCAGAGAGGGGCAGAAATTCTGATTTAGGGTCTGCTTCGGCCTCCTGGTGCAGGGCTTTGGGTGAAGGCTGGAGGGAAGTGCTGCTGGTGGTGAAGAGCCAGAGAGCCTTACTCCAGTGGGAGTTCATCATGGCCTGGAACTGGCAGACCCATCTCAGCCCTCTGAGCCTCCAGATGCTAGTACCTGGCCTTGCACTCCCACAGGTCTTCCCTCTGCTTGGAAAACCTATGCTCGTAATCCTGTGAGGTGCTTCTGCTGAGCCTCCTTCTTGGTCAGATCCAATTTGAACTTAGCTGTTTTACCAACTCTTTCTTGTGGTGGCTGCTTAGTTCCAACAACTGCTTCCTGTTGGGGCCCTAAGA